AGGACATCCTGCCCCAACATGGGGGGAGAGCAGTGGAAGACTGGTCTGCCCCACACGTGTGGGCAGCAGTCAGTGCATGCACTGAACACTTAACACAGAGTCCTGTTGCTCTTAGTCTTAGGACTGAGATCTTTGCTTAGAATCTTCTCTGGTTGTATTGGTTTCTAATGTTTACAGTGTCTAGTGGTAAAAATGCAATCCTTATTTGCCTGTGTAGCGTCAGATTGCTAGTCTAATCATATCAGAGGCAGCATTATCTTTTCTAGATTTATTATAAACCTTTCTAGTAAAAATTTATTATAAACCTTTATAATAAAAATAAAATGTCTGTAAACTAAACTTTAAGTCACAACTCCTGACCTTTGCAAGGTGGGATCAGTACTCATGAAAGTTGTGATTACTTTCTTGTCAGCTGTGGTTCTTATTTTGTGTTATTCCACCATTATTTTCTGTAACAGTTCTTCTATTTAAGAGTACACCCATGCAACATGTAAGAGTGGGAGCTCTAGCCCGACTCCGTAGGGCAGCCCAGAAAACATGCAGTACGACACTAGCAGCTCCCTCCTGAATACAAGAAGATAGCAAATTATCCAGTATCTGATTGGCAACATAGGGGATACCAAATACGTTTTCGTGCAGAGCATCTGTAAACCAAGAGCGAATCTTTCAAAGTTTAATAGTTGCAGAAGCAGGGTGTGCTGAGCCCTTACTGAGCGGGAGCGGGGAGCCTGGAGCTCACCGTTCTGCTGCAGGCTGCCTGCAGACCCGGGCAGGAAGCACTAACTCAGCTTACAGTAAATTCTGGTTTTTTAGGTTCTCTCTTAATAGCATGTTACATGCTATTGTAACATGACGGGGAAAGGCAGTTGCTCTCCATACTTGAACAAGCTCCGTTTCGGTGATTACTCTCGCTGTGAAGCCTAAGGCTGTCATACATCCTTAGAAATGCCTTTTCCCCCCCCGGATCCTACTCCCAGTAGCCCACGCTGGTTTATTTGCTAGCTGCAGCTCACGCTGGCGTTTTTAGAATCCCAGGCACAGCCTTTTTGCTGCAGGGCACAGCAGGGGACCCTAGCCCCTTGGGGGACCCTAGCCCCTTGGGGGGACCTGAGCGCTGCTGGCCTCAGGCTGCACAGCGGCTGACAGGAGCCAGGAAAGGACGTGGTGAGTCCAGGGCATCTCCAGTGGGGTGGAGACACAAAGCTGCGCTGTTTGGGGGCTCAGATGTGAGAAAAGCCAGGACGCCGTGGGGGTTAGAGGCTTAGAGTCAAGCGGTATAGGGCAGACATCTCTAAATGAGTCCTCTTCCCTCTTCCTGTTTTTCACACCTGGGACATGTTTTCTCCTGCCCCATTTTTTCTTCTGGGCTCAAGACCTACTTCAAAGCCCCACTTTCTTAGCCTTAATTTTCTCCTTCTTTTCAAGCAGGCATCTCTACTTCTATCACAAGTGCAGGTACTTTTGAATCTGCCTGCAAATGCAGCTCAAAGCCTGCATTTTGGAGGTGAGGGTATTCAACTTGGATTTGTGGGTTTCCATGTTCTCAAGTAGAGAAGGCCATTGAACCCACATCTTATGTCCTGGATGAATTCTCTAACCCTTAGTTCATCTCATACAACTTGGGTTTTTTTTTTTTGTTTTGGTTTGGTTTTTTGTATTTAAAAACAGAAAAACTTGATCCCTGCACAATTTTGTAAGTATAATATTGGTGTCTACCTCTGAAGAAAGTTACAGGCAATGGCTTTGACCACTCCATCCTCAAGTTGTGCATTATTTTTAATCCACATTCTGAGATTTGTAACTAAAAGCATGGTACAGGGAAGCCAAGCCCGTAACTGTGTTCCAAATACCACTCCTGGGACCTGAAATTAAATATTGCAAAATATTTGCCCACATGTTTTGTCTAGTTCTTACCACTGACATTGGCCTTTACCTTAAATTAGCTTTCTCTAGTCCTTGTAGCTATTGCTGGCATAAAAATAGCCCTAAACACATTAAGGAGAATTTTCATTCATGACTCAACTATACTCTCTCTTTGTGTTATCTTAATATTGAAGAACTAATACTTATTGTAGGGTTTCTTCTTAATGAGTAATGCAAAATATCAAAACCAAATGTAGAATGAGCCATGTTCCACTGGACAAAGCTGCCTTATTGTTTTGAGACCAGTAGATGGCAACCACCCATTGCAATGTCAAAGGTAAATGAAAAGTGGGAGTTGTTTAGGTAGGAGACTTATTATGTGACAGCTTGAGCAACAAAGTTTTGTTACTCCACATAAGAAGAAAGCAGTACTTTATTTTTACCTCTGATCATGCACATCTTTTGAAGGGGAGCAGCAAGATGCCCTTTTACATAGCCAGTTTTGACAAATGATAATTGTGACAACCCATTTGACTGAAATATCTTATGGCTGCTCCTTACCGATGATACCAGCCAAAAAAAGAGCAAGTCAATGGAAAGAAAAATCTAAAGCAATCAGACTGTCTTAGCTTCCACAGGAATAGCCTCGATTTCTTATGATTAATTAGATCCATTATTACTTTAGGTAGAAGCAGTTAGAACTGAGTAACAATGATCCTGGGTTTGGGAGTACATCTCCCTTTAGGAACTGACTGAAGCTATTGATGTAGCAGTTAATTAGTCCTTGTCTTATAGAATTTTTTTTACATGATCAAATTTGAAGGAATTCTGATTCTTTCTACAACATTAGGTTAAAAGTTCTTAATATCTAGGAGGAGGAACTGTAAAAATTTGAAAAGATTCTCTCAGGGCCTCCAAGAACCTTGCATTTACACTTTAGAAAAGAAGCTCCTTCATTAAAACAGGAGAACAGTTATGGAAATACATCTGTAATCTTACTAGAAGGATACTTAACTACCTGTAGTCATATTAAGTTTTCCTTTAGCATTGATTTAACCATATTTTGTGAATACATTTTCAGTTAGGATTGGTATACGTAGTACATCTATGGATGCACACAGAAATAGAGTGTCTGTAGTGCAGAAAAAACAGACTTTTAGGTCTCTGAAAGATTCCAGCATCGCCTAACACTGTGATTAGCAACTTTAGAAAGAATAAACTACTAATAGTTAAACCAGCTAACAAGAGCACTGTCACTTAGTAGAAGTAAAACAAAATACTCTGCATTACTGGGATGCCTCCCTTCAAGTTCTCAAGCACTTTGCAAACCATTAACTTGCAATGCATTAACTTGCAGTACAAGGTGTGTATGTTTATTCCCAGAACTCACATCTTTGCTAGGAAGACTTAAAAAAATTACTTGATACAGATAAAGTAGCCTTTCATGCTTGTTAAAGCTATAGCTTGATCAGCTGTGAATTTTTATAAGTGACTTTGAAATTAGGAGAAATCCAGCTGGGATCCATTTCCTAGTGAATACTAGTGAGTTGGAATAGCTTCTAGTACCTCTTAGAACCCTTCCTCCCAAACTTTTCTCATTATTTCCTTCATCTAATGATAAGACTTCTATTGTAAAAGAAAATTACTCTGTAATGAGATTTGAGTTATTTTTTTCCTTCTTTGAAGAAATTAAAGACCTTCAGCCCAATGCAAAAATTTGTGCAACTTTATTTGCTTTAGCATGAGAAATTATGTGACTTATATATGTTGTTTTTCTTACAAGGCTATGAGTTTTGCTAAGAGTCCGAGAATTATCTTGGACTCTTCTTGCAGAAAACTGCAAAGCTAGCAAGATGTTTAAAAAAAAAAACAAACAAGCAAAGAGAAATCTAAATGTTTTAGAAAAGAACAACCTTTTAGACAAACAATAAAAATACTTTTCTGTTTACATGCATGCTTTTTTTAGCTCAAATGGTTGAGGAGGACAGATAGTTTTAAAGATTCAAGGTCTGCTGTTTCCATGAAGGACTGAGGAAGGTCTCACTCCTCTTTCCTGGTACTTACCAAAACAGGAGTCTACAAGAGACCACCGAGGACAGTAACTCTTCTTCTTTACAGTTGCAGTCAGTAAAGTTTAGCTTAAGTTCAAAGGAATCCGTATGGACATTCCCTTCTGCTCAATACTTCGTATATGTCACAGATCACAAAATACACTCTCATGCACTGTGACAATATTCAGATTTATAGCAGAACCCTCCTCAAAGACTGAAATTTTACATGTTAGATATCTAACGGTGTCAGATACCTGTCTGTCAGTGGCATTTCCAAAAGCTTGTACCTCTACGTCTCTCTTGGGTGTGCACTGAAGTGTGTATATGATGAGCAGCAACGAAGTCCTCTAAGGATCATGGTCTGGTAAGAATGTGCATACCTCATGTACATTGGCAAAAAGAACCCATAAACATGTAATTACAGCCTTTTCACTCTTCTCCTCCTGTACCTTCTAAAATTCGAAAAAAAAAAAAAATAGAATTGCCCCCTATTACTGTGCAGAAAAACAGTCTCTGGACTCTTTTTAGCAGAACTTTTTTGTGTCTTTCATTAAGACACTGGAACTATTCCTCGCTGAGCAAAGCCATAGCATGTTGGGTGACAGGCTTGTTCGTTTGATCACTTTATAGCGGGGAATGAAAATACGATTGAGCACTGAAGCAGGTGCTTGAGCATTGACTTTTAACCAAAGAATAAAGTACAGATTTGCATGGGGATTTTGCTTACCTGACCCTTATTTCAGATGCCATTTGAAGCATAATTTGAAGGAGAGGTAATCAGGGACATAATCCAGTAAGGTGCTGAGTGATTCTGAGGTGGTGCTGAATGCTATCCATTACCACTGCTAGCAAGGAGATTCAGAGGTAGTCAGTCTTGGCAGGATCTGAACCATAATAAATTAGCAAGATAAGACGGGTAATGAAAGAATGCAAAACACGGAAGTTAAGTTTGTATTTCTTGACAGTGTTCAGACTGACTTTTGTAATTATTAACTTAACCCTAAAAGCCCAAGATAGTCCTTATTCAAATGCCTCATTCTTGTTCCATATTACTTCCTAACAACAACATCTCCGAACATTTCCGCAATGAGAAAAAGGAAGACAACAGATTCACCCCATTCATCCACAGATCTGAGTGAAGGGAAGGAGAAATTAAGACTGAGGCAAGAGGTTGGCCTGATTAGTGGAGTGTCATTAATTGCAGGCACTATGATAGGCTCGGGTATCTTTATGTCCCCTGAGTGGGTGCTACATCATATGGGGAACCCTGCCAGCAGCCTGCTTATCTGGGCAGCGTGTGGTCTCCTGGCCATGTTTGGAGCCTTGTCATACGCTGAGCTTGGAACCATAATTAAAGAATCTGGAGGAGAATATATTTACATCTTGAGGATTTTTGGTCCTTTTCCTGCTTTCCTTTTCGCCTACACTTCTGTTATCCTGGTGAGACCAGCTGGCTTGGCAGCTGTCTGTCTGAGCTTTGCTGAATATGCCGTTGCGCCGTTCTACCCTGGATGCTCGTCTCCACAGGTTGTCGTCAAATGTACAGCTGCTGCCTGCATCCTGCTTTTAACTATCATCAACTGTCTCAACGTGAGGCTGGCAACGTCTATTATGAACATTTTTACAGCTGCCAAGCTCTTGGCTTTGTTGGTGATTGTGGTGGGTGGATTGGTGCTGCTTGCCAAGGGACAAACTCAGAGTTTTCAAAATGCTTTTCAAGATACGACTGCAGGTATTGGGGGGGTTGGAGTGGCCTTTTACCAGGGACTCTGGTCTTATGATGGGTGGAACAACCTGAACTATGTAACTGAGGAACTGAAGAAGCCTGAGGTGAGTGAATGAGCTGGATTTCACTTACTTAATGCTGCTGCTACTATGTTTCATTCTATCTATGATTGTGTTAAGAGGGGTAATCAAGGGATTAGAGCATGGAGGAAAGACTAGTGAGCTTTCCTCCTGGTTTGTTCTGTCTTCTGGGGCTGGACACCTATGAATGTGTCCAGAAAGGATAAAAATGAGTCTCTAAGCAAAATAACAGCCTACTTGCAAGAAAGCACTAAAATACCCCATTGACTGGAAAAAGCTATTAGGCAGCATTTGGATGCTTTGGGGATGAAGTTTTGTCCTATTGTTCAGAGGATCTCACTCTAGACACCTAGATTTATGTAGAAAAGCACTCACTTTTGCTATAACCATAAAGGGTTCTTAACTCCCTAGAAGACTTGATCCATAATGTATGCTTCAAAAAAATGCTTATCTCTCCTCATTGTATGGAGGGGGAACTTCAGAGCAAGCCAAGCCTCACTGGAGAGGGACTCTAACTCTCTGAATGACCCTTGTCTTAAAATGCCTACTTTTTAGTCATTGTTCTGTCCACGCTGTCGGCACTGAAGTAGCTCACTTGCATCTCACGTCAGCCCTCTCTCTGCCATATTACCTCTTTTCACAGATCAGACACCACAGCAGTGAAGCCTTTTTTAGAAAGAGCTGTGTGAGTGCAGAGTGTATAGTGTGTGCTTTCTACCAGTGCAGCACACAGGATTTTAAAGGTTAAGTGAAAATGCACAGTAAAATGTTAATCTAAATGGTAGCAAAGATCCTTGGGTCATGTGGCACTCTCTCCCACGGGACTGTGAGCACTGATATTCAGACCCTTGCGGGGTGGAGGTAACAACATAAGCAATTGCTGTATCTTGACCTACGGTGGGAATGGGGAATGCAAAAACTGATATTTCAGGTTTTTAGGTGTATACAGTTATTCTATGATGACCCTACTATTTGCGTTTTTCCAGTGCTTTCAGCTGCGTAAGGTAGTGTTTGCTGATTTTACTGAGCCTTAAAATGGTCCATGAAGTTCCAAGATAGCATCCTGTCACTAGGAAGAAAAAACTAATTCCTTCCTAGAGCAAATTTCCCTTGTGCTGCCCAGCTTTGCTTTTGCCCTCAGAGCAGTTAAATGTGATTCATCACACACTGGTACTTCATCCATGTCGGTGGGATGTTCATGGGAAGATGCAGCACACCAGGAGACATAACACACTAGTAACAAATAAATTGTTATTAAAGTAATCGAAAAGTATGGAGCAGGCATCTTGGGCAGCTATGAACCAAAATCTTTTTGAATAAGATTTGGGGGATTTTTTTTTTTTTTTTTTTAAAGATTAGCTTTTGAAATTACTGTTTGCCTGACGTCTTCGGGAGACTAGTGTAAAAACTGCCATGTGAATCTGGATCGAGGTCTTATTCTGTGGAAAAGCTTAGTGAGCGAAGGAGTTTGAGTGAGGGATGTGGGTGGCGGCGAAGACAAAACAAAGCCCAGTGCAGGCATAAATGTGCTGCACCTAACACCCTTGTCATCCCTTTTCCAGGTGACCCTTCCCAGAGCTGTGATGATTGCCATTCCTTTGGTTACGTGCCTGTATTTGCTGGTAAACGTCAGCTACTTAGCAGCCATGACTCCAGCTGAACTGCTGTCTTCAGGAGCTGTGGCAGTCACTTGGGGGTGAGCTCTGCTTGTGGCCTTAGTGAGCGAAGGAGTTTGAGTGAGAGATGTGGGTGGCAGCGAAGACAAAACAAACAAAGCCCAGTGCAGGCATAAATGTGCTGCACCTAACACCCTTGTCATCCCTTTTCCAGGTGACCCTTCCCAGAGCTGTGATGATTGCCATTCCTTTGGTTACGTGCCTGTATTTGCTGGTAAACGTCAGCTACTTAGCAGCCATGACTCCAGCTGAACTGCTGTCTTCAGGAGCTGTGGCAGTCACTTGGGGGTGAGCTCTGCTTGTGGCAACACAGCCAATGCAGTCCTGTAAAATACGGGTTGTCTCCTGAGTTTCAGGAGGTTTAGGTGCTGTTCCCAGTGGGAATGACACCACTGTGTTGGTCAGGCCGGGAAGACCTGTCAGGCCATGTTATGGGGAAGCATGCTGCCAGTCCCCGCTCTGTCACCTTCAGGGTGGTGCATAGCCTTCCCCCACTGAAGGCCAAGGCTGACCAGCCCTTTCTGGCCCATCGCCTCCAAGGTGCAGCTCAGCTGCCAAGATGGAGTACTCTGCAGCACACTCCGTACTCCCCATTCCCATTCATTCCCACTGGGAACCTGTGGCTCCCCTCCAGCTCATGTTTTTCTCCATGGAAAGTGGCCATAAAGAGGGGTGAAGTACACACCAGGAGCATCTCCCCACAGACGGTGAGGATGCACTGAGGGTGCATATCCAAACCTGGGGACTGGGAGATGTCCCACGTTTTAGATATTTCCAGAAAAGCGGAGAGGGCAATGTGCTGCCCCACCAACGCAGAGGCAGCAGTTTGGGAGTGAGACAGGAGCCAACTGGGTGAATCCTGTCTGCTCAGTACATGGAATTTAGACCAGACCAGAGGTTTTTAGTTCAGTTTCCCCATCTGTGGGGAAATGGAAAATGACACTGATGTCTACAAAACCTTTGAGAAGGGGAAGCATTACACATGGGTTGGGTGGCCTTTGGTAATTGTATCTTTAAGTTGGCTTGTGCTTTTCCAGAGTTGCACGGAAACTATTTGTACCTTCCATCAACCTGAATTTGTTTGGTGATATTAAACAGGCTCTGTGAAAGACAAGGATTTTAGGAAGAGAAGGAAGGGACTGTCATGAGACTTGCAGGCACCATTGACTTCTAATCAGACGATCTTCCACCAGAACATACAGCCTTAGTCTAAATATTTCCAAAGACACAGAATCCATGATAGCCCTAAATGAGTCGCCTGGCAGAAACGATGACACAGTATATCCAGAGATTATGTTGCTGCTCATCCTCTTCCTAAAAAGTCAGCAGCAGCTTTGTTTCTGTGTGCATTTGACAAGATCTCCAGTTTGAAGATCTGACTGAGCTCTTGCTATATGTGTTCTCTAATAGCCTTTCATGTCATTATAAGCAGGAGGTTTTAAAGGTCTGGTTCTCTGAACAGGTTACAAAGCCTCACTAAGCTGCAGTGTCATGAACTTTGTCTGCCCTTCCTTTCCCATCATTCCCGATTAACAAGTTATTTGTGAGTTTCCTCCCTTTTAACACATCTCCTTTTCCTGCCTGATTAACCTTTTCACCCCAAGAGTGCAATTCAGAAAGAAGCATTGAACTAGCAACCAGAAAGCTGGGCACTCAAAAGCCTGGTGGACAAGTAGATAGCCACAGGCTGAGGAGGGTGTAATGGCTGTGGTTCACAGGCAAGAGATGCAGCTATTCAGGCCATTAAGAAAGGATGGGAGGTGTATAAAGAAGCCAGAGGATGACATGCCACATTTAAATTGCATTTATTCCCCATATAAGAAGGAAACTGCCAGAGAGAAATATTGTTCAGTGGTGAGAGGTGCAGCCACAAAAGGAGCTCATGAAAGTCTCCCCAGCATTTCTTTGATGCCAGTGATTTAACAGCAACTGCAGATCTGAGTTTGCTTGTAAGAAGTTAATCTCAGTAGCCCCTGTGGTTCATTTTCAGGGTTCAAAAAACAAAGCACCAATCTCATAAATAAAAAATACACAATTGCTGCATATTTTAGTATAAATTTTGTGATATATGTTGTTTTCCCTTGAGATCTTGTGGTTACGGAGTTGCGTGATCATCAAGGATGCCCAGATTCCATCATTTTGAAAAAGGGAAAAATTTTTGTTCTGGTTACTGCAAGTAACTTAGTAACTCGAAGCCTGAAGGACCATAACCCCAATAATAAGCTTCTAAACTACATTTCTGAAATTATTGTGGTAGATAAGCTCCTGCCATGATTTTGTAAAGCCCAACTCTTGATTTTTTAACACTTGGGACAGTTGATACTAAAAAAAAGAGCACATATGGCTTAAAGCCATACAATTCAGATGGAAATATAAAGTGTTCTAAAAAACTTTCAAATTTTGGATTGTTGCCAATTAGATAAACAGTGTGTTTGCTTGTATATGTGTGTGTACATGTATATGATAATTACCCCAAGCACCAGCATTTATTACTCAATTAGTATTCCTCATGCTGCTTCATTCCAGAAGACAAGCTTCACTTTTAGGTGAGAAGATTATCATATCTTCCATATATTTACCTCAATCTCTATTTGTAACCCTGCTACTTCTTCTGTTATGGAGAAAGCAAACTATAAATGTCTGAACATGTTGTAGAACCAAACTTCTGGAATTCAAGCAATTGCTTTGGCTTAAGCCTGATTCAGAGTAGCAGAAATGCGTTAAAGGGTTAAATTCTTATGCATCTTGGGGAAGAGTTTATAATGCAGGGTATTTCTTCAGGTCTGGTGGGAACTGTTTTTCTGCAATTTCCAAGCTAATATTGTTGGCTGTAATAGCAATATCTCCATGGTTTATGCCACAGCATCTGTACACAAAAAAGGAGGTTTTGCCTGTTGTGACAGATTTGTACACCATTGCAATGTGGATGGATGTAGATATATATACACCAGGCAGGAAGAAAAGCTGTCTTTTCTGGACAAGACAATGTTACTAGTGACTAAATATTATGGGAACTGGAAGAAGGCTTTAAATCATTAGAAAGGCTTTGGAAAAAATTTCGGTGAGAATAATGGAGGGAAGAAACCTGTTGGGTTCTACGGTGAGTATTTGATACATCTACAAGCTGGATGTTACACTGTGAACTCTCTA